TGATTGTGTGGCAGCTAAGCATCGGTAGAATTATCGATGTACTGCTGTCTATGATGATGATGATGAGATAACACATGACTATGTTGTTTATTGTGATATTTTTTTTACAGAGTTCAACCTCTAAAAGTTTAGAATGAAATTAGATTTCATTATGTAATATAAAGAATATTAAAAAATTCAGTTAACAGTCAAGAATGTAAAAAAATCTCATAAATTGCAACATATAATGAACTATATGTTGTGAACTAAACATGTAAAATATTTTGTTGTTTTTATACATGATCATACAAATTATGTGTAATGATTGTCCACATGTATTTATAGTTTTATATTATTTATCTTCAGTTTCCATGTTAAAACTATCTTTCAAAAATTGTCATTGATGAAATCCTCACAGCAACCTATGTACAACAGGAATTAGCTGTACTAAACCTTCAGTTTTTCTACACTGAACTTGAACAGTTTATGAAATACAGATGAGTAGTTTATTTCTCTGTTCACAGACTATCTATTGTATTATAAAATTTTATTAGTATGAAGATTAGTAAAGAACCCAGCAAATGGTTTTATAACATAACATAAGGTGTTGGAACAACATGGGACCTATTGATCCATCTTGGCTGTTCCATCCTCTAAACTAAATTAAAATGATTAAAAAATAAAAAAATCTTAAAGCCAGCCCTCTTCATTCATATACTTATCAAGCTTTTCTTAAACTCACTTAATTTTACTGCCTCTACAACATCTGAAGGCAACTCATTCCAAAGGCCAAGCACCCTGTTAAAAAATTAAACTGTTTGAGCTGAAGATGACGCCTACCTTGCCAAAATTTATATTTGTGACTCCTAGTCCTACTATTCTCATTGTCAAATATAAAAAAAAATGATGCATCAACACTATCAATTCTCTTTACAGTCTTAAATACCTCAATCAGATCCCCCCTAACTAAAGAGAAAACAATTTGAGAGATTTCAGCTTCTCCTCGTATGACAACCCCTCCATCCCAGGCACCATTCTAAT